GTTTTCTAGAGGTTTCTGCTTTTCATTCTTCTTATTTGCCCTCAAAGAAAAATTCCAAAAAAATTCTCCTCTGAATATTGGAAGAAAAACCGCCACAAAAATGTAGTGGCGTCAGTCACGTTCGCTTATCTTGCGTGACTCATACAATCAGTTCTCTTGGAATCAGTACATTTCGAGAAACAGTGTTAGCCGGTGATGAATAAGTTATATTTGCTTTCCCCGTTTTAACTCTTTTTGCTGATACGAGAAATGATCCTGATTACTTCTATGGAGATCCAGGAGAGAAAAATATTAATTTGATTAAGCATATTGCAAAAAAGGGCAATCCTTTTGAAGAGAAAACTAATGTGCTAGACACTTGAGAAAGGGTCTCGCTAGATCCTTGCGTAGTCGATCGATCCTTTTTTTGTTGTTGTTGTTGTAAACAAATGTTTTTTTCGACATATTTCCCTCAAGAAACTACTTACGAACAAACTACTTCCTTTCCACACATAATCCTCAGTTTATTGGTTTTGATTGACTCCCGGATCATGTCAATGAAATTCGAGAAATTCGACCCTTTTTAGTGATCAACTCTGAACATTCAGCCAATCACGAGGAAGACGCTTTTCTCAGAATTGTTGAAATGAAGCTTCGAGGAAGGTTCTGCGAAATGTGAAGCACAGATGCTGTCCTTATTTTCCTTGTCTTCTCTGGAGAAAGTTCTTTTCAACGGCTTTGAGTGAAGTCTAGGTATGTAGAAGTTGATTTTATATTAAGTGGAGAATTGATTGCGGTACTGTGTTGAAAACAACTGATGCAGAACGGCCTTGAATTTCACTGGTAGCCATTTAAAACGTAATAATAATTTTAGACCGATGTAGGGAAGAATTGTTTTAGTTTTTGATTAATTCATCGTCGCGTAGGCTATAATGTTATTACAAAGAAATAGTGTTAGAAGAATGAGAACTTGAATAAGAGAACAGTTTTTTTGTATATATAATTTCTAAATAACTTATGTACGGCATGTTACACTGTCAGTCAGTTATATCACTGAAGTCCAAATTTAAACAGTTGTTTGTTGTTCTGAGAAAAAATGTTTTACTGCTATATGCTAATGAGTGCTTTCAATTAAAAATGAATTGTATTAAATCTTCAGGAGACAATTGGAAATTTGTTTGGTGGGTCAGTGGAAATTATTTTTAACAAAATTAAATTTATAATGCTTTGTTTATATCTTAATTTTTGGTGAACTTGTTTCTTAACTAACCGGCTTATTACAGCATGTGGTAATTTCATTCATTTTTTTCACAATTTTTCTTTTGTTGATTTCATACATCGCCAAGTTGCATATTTCTTAAAGAAGAAAAAAAAAATCCTGTTTTGAGTGAAGGTAAAATATTGGATTTTTACACGGGCATAATGGTAGAACTTTTCGCGTTTTAGTCTCATTTTTCAATGTTAGAATTGTCGTTTTATCAGTGACTATTACTGACCTGTATTTACAGTTGAATTTAGCACTAAATTTTCCATCACATCGATTATTTGTGCGTCTGCTAATCATTTTAAGAGAAAACTACTCCATCCCCACCCCTCTCCCTCTCCGTTGAGAACCAACGTTTAACTGTGCCTTAACTTTAAAGCGATCTTCAGGTAAAGGTAAAAAGTGATCTGATATTGCTTACGATTTGCTTCACTTTGGTCTGTGATTGGTCTAAAAAACGTGCTACTTCAACCGGTCACATCGCCCAGAATGCTATTGTCTTTCGCGACATGTACTTGCAGTGCCCATTTAATCAGCGGGCAGCATAATAATTTGCATATCGGTTGTGATTGGTCAGTAGGTAAAGCTTTGGGAATACATGAGTCTCTTTGCAGATTTCAGCTGCTGTCAATCAAACGGTTGGATGCGTAAAGTAAATCCCAAGGTGACATAAAGTGAACAATAGCAATAATTAACAATAGCCACGCTCTTAACAAAGCGTTTAGCAAATTCGTTTGCAGCGAATTCTTATACGGACTGACAGACTCCCGTTGGTCAAAATGTTATCGGAATTATAAAAATAAGTATCATGAAAATAGAAAATAGAAAAAAGAAAAATTTAGAAAAAAAGTATCATGAAGAATCTACTTCGTTAAAATCGCTTCAATCGGTAGAGAAAAATATGAGCGATGCTTCCGACAACCGGCTTGTGAGTGCGACGATCGTCGAGATAGAACTAGAGTCTATCTTGCGACAATAATAGGAATGTGGTTTCCATATGATAGTAACGATTGCTGAATATTTCTGCAGCGATCTCAGCGATCATATCTTAAAAGCTTTTACAGTTTTTTAAGCATTGTCTCGTTACCACCTCAATTTCAATACTAATTAGGCGGCGTGTGCGCGATTGTTTGCGGAGGCGGAGCTTAACATACCTTGATATTCTCGCGAGAAGTTTAAAATAGGTCACTTGTATTCTCGTGGGGGTCTCCAAAGGACAAATTTGGATAGAATGTTACGATGCTTAGCAAACGTTTTCGAAATTCGCGTTTTGCGACTACTTCCAAAGTTTGGAATCCCTTGAAAATTTCTATGACGCTTTCTAGAATGTCAAATAAAAATAACCATATGGTAAAAGAGAAATCTAGCAATTGAGTGAAGGTAAATTACGCCTGAAAGTGCGCTGAGATCGACTTCTCATACAAGCAGGATGCTAACATAGTCAATTTTCAAGGCAAATTTGCGACCTCTTCTGAAAGCGCAATAACAAAGTGAGAATGATACACTATTCAATTGAACTTTCTTCTTTAAAAGCCATATGGTAAAAGTAGCATTTGAAAAGTAGTTTATCCGTAAACGAAGAGAACGTAAGCCTTCCTCGACATTTTCAGCCCTTTTCCTTCATTGTTTGACAATCATTTTCTAATTAGCTTTTAAATTTAGCGCCAGCGTCTCAATGAAAGTCCCGGATATGTCGCTGAATTCTGGGCGATGAGATGCTAGAGAAAAGCCATTTGCGACTTTGTCACTCCTGTTTTCCCACGGCCTAGGCAATGTCTTGATATAACATTAAGCGCCCATTGGCTCTTTACGACTGGCGTCATCAGTTTCTATTCTTTGGGTCATTCCTTTGAGTCAATCATTGAGATTTGTTCGTGTCACCGCGTGTGGCCATTTACTCGTCACGCCCTGGACTTATGTATATCATGTGATAACTAGTCAAGAACTGTATTAGGGCTCATTTGGTTAAAGATTCTAACTGTATAAAACAGCCCATACAACAGATGTATTCCCACCAACCAGTTCACATAGTCTCATGTAAAAGATTCCTTAAAATGTCTCAATTATAACGTTACTTCATGGTCGCGTGACTTAAGAATCATTCCATACGTTCAACCAATCAGGAAGAGGATGCTTTTCTCGGAATCGCAGATGCTCGTCGCAAAATTTAACAGAATGCTCCGAGAGAAGGTGGCGTACTGTGATGTTTACGGCTTTTTCATCTTATTTTTTTCAATTTTCTTTACAAGCAATGAACCATGTGAGACTTATGTGCGTACGAATTATTAATATTGTTGAATTTTTAATTAACTCTCGGACAAATGAAGCTTAACGCATTTAGCAAGCATGTGCTAATGTATGGAGTACAGTATTTGGTAATATGTTGATGCTTGTTATTGGAAAGAATTCTCACGACTCTAGTTTTAAAATCGAGCTGATCTTACCAGGAAAGTGCGTCAACTTGTCACAGAATAGGAATATGAGCGTTCTCAAAACAAATCTGAAACGGTAGGTTTTTATTCTGAATAGCTAATTTCGAAAGCGTACATAATATATCTGGTGGGTTAAATTTGTAATCTTTACTTTAATTCACTACTTTATCGACAAATCCTCGCTGCCACAAGACAGCAGCACTTCAAAAACTGAAAACTCGATGAATAGTTTGCTTAGTTGATAATACTGATGCCGTCCTCGCAACTTGTGGCATTCTGATAGTTACTAGCTTGCTCTCTACTGATGTTCGTGTTTCAACGCTCATGACAGCAAAAGAAAAGTGGTTTGCGCTTTTTTTCATTACTAAGGCTCAGATGTGTCATATATTTAATACTGTTGATGACAAAACAAAGTCTTCAGCGAAAAGCCAGCCATGATAAATATTAACAGATCATCCGCTAGACTGTGAAGTCTAAACTCCTTAAGAAGGCATTATAATTACGTGACCATTTGAAGTTCTTATATTTTCCATAACTTGAGTCCTTAGACGCGATTTTTATTCTTAACAATGTTTTGAGACAATCAGCTTGTCAAGAGTAGTTTTGAGCAAAAACGTTTCCACTGAAGTCTGGAAAGATCTTGCAGTCTTCTTCTTCTCACAAGAATTTGGTTTAAGCGTACTTGCTTCTCAACAAATTTTCTTATCATGAAAGCACAAGCACTGCTATGCTGTCCCTGACCAACGTTAGCTAATCAGTAAACAATTTTTCAGTTATTTCATTCTTTACTACAGCTTGAACAAGCGCCAAACATGATTACGAATTTGCTAGCTAACAGACCGAAGGACATTCGCTGCTTGGGTTAAAATGCTAATGACATCACGGCAAAACTGACCAATCAGCTTTAGGTACCAGACCATCTCGACTGACAAGTGAGTCCTCAGGTGACTCGGAGGATGACTTCCACTCAATCGCTCTGACGAAGGGCTAACGCTCGAAACGTCAGCTTTTTTACCCTCTACGGTGGCTAATTTACGTTTTTGTTAACACTAAATTACCTGCTATACTCTCCCACCGACGCAGCATCACAGTTTCTTTAGAAACTTACCCCTTTATTCCGCTCAGGTTGTCTGTCACCTAAGTCATTGTCAAGTGTACTCTCACAAGGACTGTTAGACCAACGATCAATGACTAACGCATATGATAACTAGTCAAGAACTAATTATTGCCGGGATAATTCTTTTGCTTTTTTTTTTCCCATTTTTTTAAGTATTTAGGTTAAGTCTTCCATGCCTCTGGTAAAGTAACTTCCAAATTCAGAGAAAATGAAGAGAATCGTAACAGTGATAGGAAATAAAAGATCCTTCAGCGAAGAGGGTCATGATTCATTGAGATCAAAGAGACTGCGCATGTCTGTTGAAGGACAAGGATTCATCGAAAGAAATGAGGGTGGAACATGGCAGTCACGTGGGTTTTCCCAGGAGAGAAGACGAGAAATTGATAGAAATGGAAGAGAAAGTCATGGGGAGGCTGGACTTCAACAAAAAAGAGATCCTGAGCCTCTCAATTACATGGCATTGGATAAAATCTGCAATTCAAACTCTCCTGATGAAGGCATATTGGATCTCTTCAACAATTCTAAACGATTTGAGGCTCTGCTAAAGACAGAAACAATACGACCCGATCTGATGAAGCTTGTTATTCGAGCCATACACGTGTGCTGCTCACCAAATGATAAGAAAGAGATTGCTAACAAAATGCTACGTATGGTAATTAAAACAAATTTCCTGCAATTGCATCTTACTAAGTTTATCAGCCAAATGTCCGACGTCTCAGAGCTTGGTGACAATCGCCAGCTTGATAAACTGGTCTTGCTGTTAGCAGAGGTTTTCCTGGAGTTGTTGCAGAGATTTGAACAGAACATTATTCACCTCGTTCCCAGTGCCCAATTGAATGAGACGGTGGGAGATCTGAAGAGTAAGGGTCTCCTTGAAGACGCAGAGACGTTGGAGAAGAAGCTTCAACAGGTCAAGGAGTACAAAGATGAAATAAATCGCCGGAAAACAACTCACCCAGACGAGTCTCAGCTAACTCCACCCGAGGATTTTCGCAATATGAGCGTGATCCCAGGAGTAGCTGATTTAGAACCCCATAACAAGCCGTTTCTTCGTAAAAACGTTGTTGATGGAAGGTACTTAAACCAGGAGCACTATTTAGACGTGCAATTTCGACTTTTAAGAGAAGACTTCATCTTACCTCTTCGCAATGGAATAAAACAGCTTAAACGGGACCGCAGTCCCACGGCAGCAAATGACCCAAGCCACGACAAACGTACGCGAGACGTTCCTGTGTACCGCGACGTCACAATCTTATACCCCGTATGTAGTGGAAAGGGAATGGTTTACAGAATCCGGTTCGACTCGTTTCACCCGGATGTACGTCGCGTGAAATGGGAGAAGAAGAGCAAGCTTTTTAAGTTTGGCTCCCTCCTTTGCCTTTCAGCCGATGGATTTCGCAATCTTTTATTTGCGACCGTGGAGAATCGAGATTCACGCGACCTTTGTGTTGGCGAGCTTGAAGTGCGATTTGAAAAAGCTAATCTTGAAATCCTGAATCAATTCATCGAAGATAAAAAGAAATTTGATATGGTAGAATCCCCTGCGTTCTTCGAAGCCTACAGACACGTTTTAGAAGGCTTGCAAGGAATTAAGGACGGTGAACTTCCGTTTGCAGAGCATATCGTTCAATGCAACCAAGATGTGAAGCCACCTGCTTACGAAAACAAAACCAGTGGTTTTTTCGACATGAGTGGAATAATAGAAAAGGGAGTGGACTTGACAATATCCCAAGCAAGTAACACCATGGAAAGCATGGAAACTGAGTCAGTTTCCTGGGAAGACAATGTCATCTCCGATTATCGTGAATTAGTAAATCGTGATTGGGAGTCGAATACCGAAGATGCCGAGTGGAGTACGCCTGATCTTGAGTTGCTGTCCGAAGAAAATTCAGCTAGTTCGGGCCGCGATTTCGACTACGTTACCCCAGATGAGCTTTTAATTGATGATAACGAAGGTTCCAGTGAAGGAACTCCAGCAGACGACCGACCTGCTGGTGTCTTGAATATCTACGACTTGGAACTTAATCCAGAAGACCTGGGCTTTAATAGGTCGCAGATGAGCGCGTTCAAAATGGCACTGACCAAAAATTTTGCGGTCATACAAGGCCCACCAGGTACTGGGAAGACGTACGTTGGTCAGAAGATAGCGCGTGTTTTGCTACAAAGCGGCACCCTGCGGCAGAACGAAAATGAACCGTCGCCAATTTTGATGGTGTCTTACACGAATCACGCCTTGGACGATTTCTTGAGTGGTCTTCCGAGAGAAGGTAAAGAAGTAAACATTTTTGTAATCTGCCGAAATATAATATATCAACTCTTCTCGAATCTTTACGGCGGTAATTTAAAATTTAATAGAGAAGTCTCGATTGAAGGTCGAAAGTAATCTAGAATTGCATTGACTTTGTCTTAAAGCACAAAACCAATATAATCAGAAACCAATCCTAACTCATCATGACTCGGTCGTTTGCACCTTTAGATCTGTTGCAATTGTTTTCTTGAAGTTCCCATTGGTTCTTTGTGATCTTTACCTTTTTGATTAAATGTTGTTGATAATCTGATTTTTGTTTTGCAACACTCGAGGGGAGAGCGCCCCAATCAACAAGGAGTTTCTCTCTCCCCCCCTACCAGCCCTTTGATTTCTTTCAGAACTGATCACTTTACCCTCGCGCATTTTGATCGAGTGTTTTTTTGATAGGACTGTTGTTCTTCTAAATAGGAGATTGCTGCGAGAAAAATATATGTATTTTTACCTAGGCGTTTGATGAACGTGCATTAATGATGATAATTCTAAGACCTTGATCTGGAATGTCTGCTCCCAACAGGTATCGTGCGTGTTGGTGGACGCAGCAGTAAAACGTTGAAAGACTGCACCCTGAGGGACCGGCGCGAGCAAGCGGCTTCCAACAAGCTTACTCCATTAGAAATATACAGGGCAAGAAAAAACGCTCAATGGGAGATCAAAGAGCTAAACAAAGATGGATCCCTGGATCTCTGTGTTGCTGTCCTGAAGTACTCCAGAAGGAAGATTCTGGCCTTTCGCATACTGGAGAAGTTCATGTCACCTCGTCATGCCAAGTGGTTTACAGAGTCGCAAGAAAACAAGGATTCACTGTTGTGTAAATGGTTAGACTTGCAGTACGAAATCAAGCGGAAGGGTTCCAAGAGCAATGGACATGATATGGACAGGTACAAAGATTTTCATCTGCGGGAGTCAGCTCGGAATTTCTCGAACGAAGAGGATTACGAAGACATCGAGGAAGACGAAGAGGTGAAGCCATCAGAGGCGACTATCAGCACAACTGAAGACACTACTGCACCGCTTCAACTTCGCAGAGAACTTCTAAGGGAAGAAGCCATGAGTGAACGCGAAGAGAGAAATAGTCAGTACGACCTCTTAGGATTTTTGCGATTTCAACGATGGAACCTGTACAGGTCGTGGCTTCAAAAAGCAGAGAAATACTACATGGAGAAACTTCAGAGCAAACAGCCAGATTACGAAAGAGCATTGGCGCGTAAGTTTGAAGTGATGCTCGAGGAAGACTTTCATATTCTTCAAAATGCGAAGATCATTGGAATGACTACTACTTGTGCCGCCAAATACCGCCGCACACTTCAGCGGATTCGTCCTAAAATTGTAATTGTTGAGGAAGCTGCTGAAGTACTGGAGGCCCACACAATTACGTCACTGACCAAGGACTGTCAGCATTTGATTTTGATTGGTGATCACAAGCAACTCAGACCTAAGCCGGAAGTTTACGAATCAGCCAAGAAGTACCATCTGGATGTGTCCCTGTTTGAGCGAATGGTGAATGTGGGTCTTCAGTGTGAAACCCTCAACGTACAGCATCGTATGAGACCTGAAATTGCCGGCTTGATGAAACATATCTATGACGATCTCGAGAATCACGAGTCGGTAGAGAAATATGAAGACATCAAAGGAATCAAGAAGAACATGTTCTTCATCAACCACAGTCATTTGGAGAATCCTTGTGAAGATTCCCACAGTCACGTGAATGACTACGAGGTTAAGTTTGTGGTGGCCTTGTGTCGTTATCTGTTACAGCAAGGTTATGAAGCCCATCAAATTACCCTTTTGACAACATATACGGGACAAATGTTTGCCATCAGAGACTGCCTTCAAGAAAAAGAAATTGAAGAGCTCAACCAAGTGCGCCTGACAACAGTCGACAACTTTCAAGGTGAAGAAAACGACGTCATTCTTCTCTCGCTCGTGCGGAGCAACAAAGATGACCAGGCTGGCTTCATCAAGATGGAAAACCGTGCATGCGTGGCGCTCTCTCGTGCTAGAAAAGGCTTTTACTGTATTGCAAACTTCACCCTTCTCTGCAAACACAGTGAAGTCTGGAGCAAGATTATTGAGGATTTGAAAGCGAGTGATAGCTTTGGCGCGTCCTTACCCCTTATCTGTCAAAGCCACAATGAAGAGATCACAGCAGAAACAGCCGAAGATTTCGAAGAGAAATCTCCTAACGGGGGATGTCAGCGTCCTTGCGAAGTGCGCCTGGATTGCGGTCATGCCTGCAAACGATCATGTCACCCATATGATGTCGATCACTTGGAGTATCAGTGTGGAGAGCTGTGCGTCAAGAAAATCGTTGGCTGTGACCACACGTGTTCAAAGGTTTGCTGGCAGAAATGTGACACATTCTGTCAAAAGGTGGTTGAGAAGACTCTGCCTTCCTGTGGGCATAAGACAACAGTGAGATGTGGCAAGGATTTGAACAAGGTCCAGTGCAAAGAACAATGCGAAAAAATTCTACCCTGTTCCCACCGCTGTCAGAGCCACTGTGGTCAACCTTGCACAAGAAACTGCCAAGAGCTCGTCAAGAGAACATATTGGCCATGTGGACATGAAGTCAGTATTGCTTGCTCGGCAACACCGGCAGATTGCACAACCCGTTGTCAGGACGTTTTGGAATGCGGCCACCAGTGCCCTGGAACCTGTGGCCAGTGTCGCATGGGTCGAGTTCACGTGCGTTGCAAGAACAGGTACAAGCAAGTACTGGTTTGTTCTCATGAGTACACGTCATCATGCACAAAATCCTGCCCGCCATGTACGTTGCCGTGCGAAAACCGATGCAGTCATTCGGCTTGCAAAATGCGCCTTTGTGGGGAGGCGTGCAGTTATTGCACCCATAAGTGCGATTGGAATTGTCCCCATTTTAGATGTAACAAGTTATGTGGTGAATTGTGCGATCGCCCAAGATGTAATCAGCCCTGCAAAAAGTTCCTCAAGTGCGGAGGTGGGACTCATCGCTGCCGAGGCTTGTGCGGAGAGAAGTGCATTTGTGCCGTGTGTGACAAAAACAATGGCCGCTCAATCACCGAAATATTTCTCGGTGGAGAGGACGAAAAAGGTGCACGTTTCATTCAGCTTCCGGACTGCGAACATATCTTCGCAGTAGAAGATCTTGATCGGTAAGTATGGTCTACTATATTTGATTTTCTTTCACCCAACGCAGTAATTATTTGTAGACCTAACGAAGCTCAACGAAAGTAGAGCTTTATTTCGTGGAATTATGTGGTAATTAAGAGCCGCTACAAGGGCGGATTCTAAAATTCTGTAGCCTAAATATGATGAGAAGTTTTCTCAAGACAAGAGCATTTTGAATTAATTTATTGATTAGTAACGTGTGTTGCTAGAATTTTGGTGACCGACTAAAAGTGACAAAACCCACAGGTCTGATAAGGGAGGGAGGGGGCTGGTCCTGACCCCTGGACCCTCTTCCTGGATCTGCCATTGCGCCATTAGAACCAATACTGTCAGATCTTGGCCATGGGCTTTGGGAGTCTCACTGTGTGGGGTTAGCTTAGACATGTTTTGTGGACAATTTTATCTCGTGTGAATTATGCAATGCCCTTAACAGTCTTCATTATCGTTATTTCATAGCTACATGGATACGTCCCATCTCGACGAAGAGAGCTGTGATGTGATTCAACTGAAAACCTGTCCTCTATGTAAGAGGGGGATCCGTAAGAGCCTGCGATACGGTAATATTATTAAACAGCAGTTGCTTGACATTGAAAAAGTCAAGGCCAAGGTCAACGGGAAACCAGTTGAGATTGAGGTTGCAAAGAAAGACTTGGAAACAAGTTTGAGAGCTTTGAAGCCGACACTTGAGTCGGAAGATGAAGAGAGAGACTGGGACATACTAATGAAACGTGTGACCAAATTGTCGAACATGTTTATGGCCACTGTCACCAAAAACCAGGTGATGCTGATGAAGAGATTTGCCGAGATAAACCGGAAGCTGAAGCATGGACTATTTATGAAGACCCAGAGCCAAATGAACGACGAAAGTCGTGTGGAAGGTACGTGCGCAAGTTTTTTTTTCTCATTTTTAGCGTGTGAATGAAATTACCGACAGTAGAGACTAAGATAAGCGCCTCTGTTTGGGGAAAATGGAATCCTCTGTGGTTTATTGTGAAAGTTCCCTTAACATCTTGGCTAACCCTTCACTGACATACTGACATCCCCCCCCCTCCCCCCGCCACTGCTATAACATTTTCTTTCGCCCCTAGCATGGTATGTGATAAATTTTTATGAGGCACAGGTCTCATTTATCGCCTCGGAGGTTGGGTGGCGGAGGATTTTGGTTCTGTCACAATAGAATTTACCTGATCCCCCCCTAAAAAGTAAAATAAAGCCTTTATACAGGCCCAAGTGGCCCATGGGGCCGGCGCTTAACTCCGGTTTCCTTTAACATGAAGCGGCTAGGAGTATTGCAACTCCTCCCTGGATGGGATGCCAGTCCATCGCAGGGTTACTCCCAGCACATTTGCTGGTACCCATTTGTACACCTGGGTGACGAGAAGCACTGTGAGAGTAAAGTGTCTTGCCTAAGAACACAACACAATAACCCCGGCCAGGGCTCGAACCTGGACCACTCGATCCGGAGTCGAGCGCACTAACCATGAGGCCACCGCGCCTCCACTAAGGCTCTGTAATATTCTTATAATTTCCACCCTCCTCATTGGCTGTTAATTAGCAATCAATTTTTCCGTGGTCCCCCCCTCCCCAGGTTATAAATAATGACTGATCGTTTAAACCTTTAACTCCCAAGATCTCATTAGTAATTCTCCTCACTGTCTGACATACAAATTCTTATGGTGTCAACTTGGAGAATTTCGTATTTGATCAACTAGTAATCCCCTAATTGATATTTTTCTTTATTCTCATCACTTCTATGCTTGGTATTGTGTTGATATTGTGAGGAGAAATTCTGTCTTGGTCACTCATGGAGGGTAAAAAGTTAAGGAGTTGCGATCTCTCGATGATTTTTTTCTTTTAAACGTGAGCCTGCGAGTATTTCCCATAATAATCGTTCGCTTCCTTCAGGGTATCATTGCTTACTTTGGTGTCATTTGGTAGGGTTCTCTTTGCAAGAGGATCTGAAGTATTTGCAGAAACGTGCAAAGTCAGGGGAAGTCACGGAGCGAGAGCTGCATGACATAAACCTGGAATGTACCAGGGTTAATCTGCGATTGGAGCTGTGTCTGCTAAAACACGACATCGCAAGCGGCAACTTGACTCCGGAGGAATCGCATGGTCAGATGATGAGAGATGTTCGCGATGAGTTATCCAGCGGTAAACTAATTCAAACTGAGAGATTAGACGAGCTGTTAGATATGCTGTCGGGAATCAGGTGTGTTACTTGACAGTGTCTTTTGTCTACGTCTACGGCCGCGCAAGATGCGAGCTAAAGTAAGAAAGGAGGAGAATTAAATAGCGGCGGTCATATAATAAAATACTTATTGACCTATTGACGCTGCACTCGGTCTGTAAATTATGACATGCCCCTTCAAGCCGTATGGTCCTCTCACCTAGTCAATAATTATATATCACGTGCCGTTTGATCCGTGTATGTTCGAGTTGGGGGGAAAAACCATGACGAGCTGTCTCCTTGCCCACCATGCCTCACACTCTCAAGAAAAAAACTTTTATACCACTAAACAAACGGCCGAGATGCAAATAGCAAGATTTGAATCACTGTCTGTTACTATTCGCGATAACGTTTTCTTAAATCTCTCCATTATTCCGGGTGTCTTCACTTTTGATTACTTAATTTGTGAGCATCCAGGCTCAGAATTGCTGCGCAAGTGATCTGTTCGGTCTTTCCGTTTTGAAGGAGACGCAAGAATTTTCTGTCATTTTAGGATTTTTATATTGAAGATAATAACGACGATGACGACTATGATAGTAAAGGTAATACATTTTGTACTACTTACATTTTAGAAAAGCGTACCCATGTCTGTTACCGTTGACGCCAGAAGAAAAACAACAGATCGTGACGGCCATGGGCCTCAAAAAAGGTCATTGGTACAAATGTCCCCAGGGACATATCTATGCCATTACTGAGTGTGGCGGCGCTATGGAGAAAAGCACGTGTCCTGATTGCGGAGCTGTGATTGGTGGAGAAAATCACCGACTAGTAGAAGACAACCAAGTGGCGACTGAGATGGATGGTGCGAGATACCCTGCCTGGTCCGAACAGGCGAACATGGAAAATTACATGATCATGGATGAGGCGTAAAAAGGTTTAAAACTGAGTTTTTAACGTAATCAAAACCTCACTGACTATACTTTCAGTAGACTCCTTGGACAGTGTAGCATGAGCGGCAGAGCTAAACCAATTAGGATTTTTTCTCTCGCGTACCGCGTGCTTAGCAAAGGCTGAGCGGAATAGAGTTTTACTTCGATTTGCATGCAATAGTGTCAGCTTGTTAATTGTACGTTCAATAGAAAATTTAGGTGGTGTGCCATGAGAGGCAAAGTTTAACTATCGTGATTTGTTCTTTCGCGTATCGCTGGCTTAGCGAAGGATAAGCGGAATTAATGTTTACGCCGATTTGATTGCATAGCGTCAACTTAAGGTGCGAGGCTAATGAATTTGAACTAAGACTTGTTTATTTGGAGTCAAGTTTCATTAGAAATGTATCTTTTTCAGGAAACCTGTGATTAAGCTTTACTTTTTTCTGTGCATACGAAAGCATGTCAGCAAGCTGTTGGTCAACGGAAACGTACAACAAGCAACACTGGAGAATAACCGCTAAGACGCGCAGTGCGTTGTTACTTGGCGTCCAATCCTCCCGAAGGGGGGGAGGTTACTTCTTGGTAATTTTGTTTTGGGGATTTTCCACTGGATGGGTCGCATGTTTACTGCTGGATTGAGGATAAAAAGTTTCATTTTTATCAGAGTCGGGGTCGTACGTTTTTGCGGGATTTGGGGTGAGAAAACTTTGGTTAGTAGGAAATTAGTAATGGGAAAATTTCCGATTGAAAAATGGATTAATATGGTGTCAATAATTGGCCACAAAGTTGGGGCAGGAGCAAATTACTTGGACTCCTGAATGGGGTTAGGGGCTCTGAGAGGTCTGCGGCATATAACCAGCAAAAATTGACCTGAGTAATCCTCCGGGCGTCCAAAGCAGTCCTTTTGCATTGAAACAAATTGGGAATACTTTTTCTGATCGCAAATAGCTTTCATGTAGAGGATGACCGATTATTACATCTTAATTTGTACACTGCTTTCTTGGAGCCAGCTCAGTTTAAACCTAATCGAAACTCGAATAAACTAAGAGGGTAAAAGATCAACATCAGCGTGGTGGGTGTAGACAAGAGAATATTCCCTTGGTGTAGATCATGTCAAAATACCGTTATCAGGAAAAATTGAATCATTTGATTGGTTCTCGACGCTAAAACATTAATTTTTTGTTTTTCCCTGACGAGTTTTCTCGAGATTTCTGCTTTCCATTCCCCTTATTTACCCTTAAAGAAAAATTCCAAGAAAAACCCCTCTGAATATGGGATGAAAACCGCCACAAAAATGTAGTGGCGTTTGTCACGTTGGCTTATCTTGCGTGACTTATTTAATCAGTCCTCTCGGAATCCGTCAGTATATTTCGAAAAACAGTGTTAGTCGGTGATGAATAAATTGTATTTGCTTTCCCCGTTTTAGCTCTCTTTGTTGATATAAGAAAGGATCCTGATTACTTCTATGGAGATCCAGACCCTTTAACTCCGATGAGTGACCAAGACAGAAATTCTCCTTACTAAATCAATACAATATCAAAGAGGCAAGGGATGAGAATAAAGAAAAATATCAGTTATGGGATTATTTGTTGATTCGGTACCAAATTCTCAGAACTAACATCACAAGAACTGTATGGCAGACAGTAAGGAGAATTACTAATGAGATCTTGGTAGTTAAAGGGTTGATCCTATTAAAAAATGGGGTCATCCTTTTGAAAAAAAAACTGTTACGTTACACACTTGAGAAACGGTCTCTTAAGATCCTTTCGCTATAAATCGATCGATCATTTTTCTGTTGTTGTTTTTTTGACGCATTTCCCTCCAGACTCTACTTACCAACAAATCACTTCCTTTCTACGCGTAATCCTTAGTTAATTGGTTTTGACTGACTCACGGATCACGTCACTGAAATTCGATTCGTTTTTGTGATCAACTCTGAACATTCAACCAATCACAAGGAAGATGCTTTTCTCAGAATTGCTTCGAGGAAGGTTCTGCGAAATGTGAACCACAGATGCTGTCCTTATTTTCCATGTCTTTAGCAGAGAAAGATCTTTTCAACGGCTCCAAGTGAAGCGAAGGTATGTGGAAATTGTGTATACAGCTTTACGTTATCAATTTACGTTGTCGGATCAAAGCTTCAAGGGTACGGGACAAGACCGAAAGGCGGTAGCAGCTGCAACCTCATCCACTTGAAACCCCAACATTTCTTTCATCCAAATGGCTCGCCATCGGAGATCTTCGCTGTATGGACGAGGCATTGTTAATTTTGCTGATAATTATTCATTAAGATCCCATATTCCCCTTCGGTCTCGTTTTGTAGGCTTGAGGCTTTGATCCGACAACGTAAATTGAAATAGCTGTATATTATGAGGATAATTGATGACCGTACCGTGTTGAAAACAACTGATTCAGAACGGCCTTGAGTTTCATTAGTAGCCATTTAAAACGTAAGTATAGTTTTTGACCGATGTAAGGGAGAATTGTTTTGGTTTTGGTTTACTTTATCGTCACGTAGGCTATAATTTTATTACAAAGAATGAATTTAGAAGAATGAGAGCTTGAATGATATAACATTTTTTCGTATATACAATTTCTGAATAACTTGTGTACGGTTCTAGAGAAAAATGTTTTGCTTCTATATGCTAATGAGTGCCTTAAATTAGAAATGAATTGTAATATATCTTCAAGAGACAATGGGAAATTTACGTAGTGGGTCTGTGGAAATTCTTTTGAACAAAATCAAATTTATAATGCTTTGTTAATATGCAAATTTTTGGTGATCTCGTTTCTTAACAAAGTTTTTACTGTTCATGGTAAACTTATTAATTTTTTGCTCGAATTTTGTTGCGTCAGTTCGCAAAGTCTAGCGAATAGATTCGCGAAACTTTCGCCGTTGTATAACATTACTTCTTGGTCGTTTGATTGAATCTCGCTTTTCTTACGTGACACAAGAATCATTCCATGCGTTCGACCAATCACGAAGAGGATGCTTTTCCCGGAATTCCTGATACGCTTCGCAGTGTTTCGCAGAATAATCTAGTCCGAAAGATGGTAGCGCTCAAGTGACGTTTACATCTTTTCCATCTTCTTTTTCCCTGTTTTCGTGATAAGTGGTGCACCAAATCTATTTCAAGGGAGTCTTGGGTATGTATTAATCATTAATATTCCTGAATATTTCAGAAAGTAGTACTAACTCTCAGCGACTGAAGCTTAAGGCCTTCAAGATTCCCGGAAATTCGATTATGTGCAAATGCATGGACTTTTGTACTTGGTAATGCGCTGATTCTTGTTACTTTAGTAAAGAAATCGATCTGATAGTAAAAGAGAAGTACGTCGACTTCCCACAGGATCTGAGCGTTCTCAAGAAAACTTTAAAACAACATATTTCCATCCTGAATAATTAGATCGAAACGTGTGTGGAATTCCAAAGTTACTTAGTAGGTTAAAGTTGAAATACTTACCTTTATCGAAAGATCCTCGATGCTACAGAAAACAGTACTTCTAAACTTGGAGACTTCAGAATATTTCACTGAGATGAAGACACACTCATTGAAAACGGTATTGATGTTTAATGTTCGGCTCTGTAGCGAGTGAATTTCTGGTATCTTCTGCGGTTTCTTTTCGCATGCTCGTTTTTAGACTGAACAGAATCTTTCTATGGACACGACCATCTTGAAGCTATAAGTTTCCGGGGTCGTTCATCTAATCGGTAAACTCAAGCTGTTTAAGAATGATATGAATCAAGGTCTAAAGCACCAGAGTGCATTAACTAGATTATGATAACTGATAACATGTAAATTTGCAATGTCTGTAGCGCGCAGTAGAAACAGACAAATTGGTAGCTGAAGTTCAGGCGTCTTATTAGGGCGAGTTAACTTTAAGAAGCTCGCGATCGCTTATTCAACCGGCCATATATGATTTGGAAATAGAGGCATCGGAAGGGGGGGGGGGGAGGGGCGAAAGGAGAAATATTTTCCCCATCCCCACCCCTCTCCTTGTTTTGATCGTCACTCACCCCCTTGGTAAAAATTTCTTTCTCTCCCCAGCTCACCACTGCCATTAAAATCAAAGATGGCGGCCATAATTGTCGCTGAAAAAATACTGAGTACTCGCTCGCCAAAATTACGCCTGCTCTGCAGGCTAGGAGGATAAGCAAACAAGACGCTTAGTAGGGTTCCCTTGGGATCAATATTAGAGTGCCTTCAACGGCTAAAGTAATTTTTACATTAGAGAGCCTTTAGATAGATCTATCTAAGGAATACCAAGCTGTTGGGTAAAAAAACATGAGCAGCTCATCACCCATAGCTTGTTAAAATACAGTTTTCTGTAGAAACGATTTTACCAACTCCTGGAGAGATCTCTAAACCACCTTAATCCTACAAAACTAAGTTCAGGTATACGAGTTTTTAGTCTTATTTTGTTACCCTCAAAAACACAAGCATTGATGCAAATGCTGCTGATCAACGTTAGCTGATCAATAACAATTCTCAAGGTTTATCAAATAGTTACTTTAACTTGGAAAGCTTCAAAAACGACCACAAACTTGCTTAATGGCTGACCGACCGACCGACTGACTTTCAAGCGCAAAATTGACCAATCAAATTTACGAGCCAGACTCCTTACACTCCACTGAAAGGTAGCTCTTCACTTGACTCTGATAGTGACTTCCGCTGAGGTTGTCGAAACAATAGTAACTGTAAGCAACAACAGTCCTTTTCAGGACTCCTCAAATCAGGAAAATCCGACTAACCCTAATCCTAACCACTTACTATCTTACCACCTTTTGTCACGACAATTTTTGGTAACGTTTCCTTTCTTTCTGTTTTTTCGAAAGAAGAAAAGAAGTCCTCAGTGACCTTAGGTATGCCAAACACTCGATGGCACAGTTCCCCTAACTTCAAAATAGAACAAAAATGAAGAGAGCTGTTACAGGAGAAAGAAATCCGCGCGTCTCTTTCAATGGACAAGGATTAATGGAACGAAATGGCAGTAGAACTCGTCATTCACATGAGTTTACCCGGGGAAGAAGACCCGCATTTGATAGAAATGGGGCAGGAACACATGTACAACGAGGAAGAGATTCTAATCCTCTCAATTATAGGGCCTTAGAAAAAGTATGTGATTCAAACTCTCCTGACGAGGGAATTTTGGATCTTTTCAACAAATCTAAACGATTTGAAGCTCTACTGGAGGCAGAAGAAATACGACCCGATCTGATGAAGCTTGTTATTCGAGCTATTCACATGTGCTGCTTACCGAATGATAAAAAGGAGATTGCTAATAAACTTCTGCGCATGGTAATTAAAACAAATTTTTTACAGTTGCATCTAACTAAGTTTATCAGCCAGATGTCCAATGTCTCGGCGTTTAGTGACAATTACCAGCCTGATAGACTGGTCTTGCTGTTAGCAGAGGTTTTCTTGGAGTTGCTGCAGAGATTTGAACAGGACGTAATTCACTTCATTCCAAATGCCCAACTGAATGAGACGGTGGGTAATCTGAAGAGTAAGGGTCTCCTTGAAGACGCAGAGACGTTGGAGAAGAAACTTCATCAAGTCAAGGAGTACAAAGATGACATAAATCGCCGGAAAACAGTTCGCCAGAATCAATCTCATCGAACTCCACCCGAGGATTTTCGTAAAATGAGCGTGATTCCCCAAGCTGCAGATTTAAGACCTTACAGCAAGCCTTTCCTTCGTGAAAACGTTGTAGATGGAAAGTACTTAGACCAGGATCATTATTTAGACGTGCAATTTCGACTTTTAAGAGAAGACTTCATCCTGCCTTTGCGCAATGGAATAGAACAACTTCAAAAGTCCTACAATCCGGGAGCAGGGAACGTGAATCACAGCAAACGCGCGCGAAGCGTTCGCGTGTACCATGACGTCACAATAATGTATCCCGTATGCAGCGGAAAGGGTATGGTTTACAGAATCCGGTTCAACTCGTTTCACCCGGATGTAGTTCGCGTGAGATGGGAGAAGAGCAAGCTTCTCAAACTGGGCTCTCTCCTTTGTCTTTCATCAGATGATTTTCGCACTCTTCTATTTGCGACCGTGGAGAATCGAGATTCACGCGACCTCTGTGTTGGCGAGCTTGAAGTGCGATTTGAAGACGTCCAGTTCGAAAACCTGAATCGGTTTATTGAGGAAAAAAAGAAGTTTGATATGGTAGAATCCCCAGCGTTCTTTCAAGCCTACAGACATGTTTTGGAAGGTTTGCAAGAAATTGAGCCGGGTGGACTTCCATTTGAAGAACACATTGTACAATGCAATCAAGATGTGGAGCCACCTGCCTATGAAATTAACACCGGTGGTTTGTTCGACATGAGTGGAATGATAGGAGAAGGAGTGGACTCAACGGCTTCTCAACCAAGTGCCGGTGATGACAGTAATGAAGTTTCCGAAAATGGCAGCCAAGTAACCGACCGACCCGCTCGTGTCGAGAATATTTACGACTTGGAACTCAATCCAGAAGATCTGGGCTTCAACGAGTCACAGATGAGCGCATTCAAAATGGCACTGACCAAAAAGTTCGCCGTCATTCAAGGACCGCCAGGGACTGGGAAGACATACGTTGGTCACAAGATAGCACGTGTTCTTCTACAGAGCGCCCCTATGTGGCAGAACGATAGTGAACCGTCACCAATTTTGATGGTGTCGTACACGAACCACGCCTTAGACGATTTCTTGGCCGGCCTACCGATGGAAGGTAAAGTTACAAAAGGGGGGCATCTTACATGTGTGAGAACTTTTGGGGCTCACTAACACTAACAAAGGGCCAAGGACTAAAACTGAGCTTTTCTAGAATCGTTACGTTTGCTCTGAAACACTTCTTGAGTGTTTGAGAGAACTTAGGCTACCCTTTTAACCAATCAGATGCAATGCAGTGGTTTAGCAGTGTCGATAAGAGTACACACCACACTTAACCAAAGTCGATTTTTTTTATCACAATATGGACGTCAAAACGAGTCTTTCAGTTAGTGACCATTGCATGTCTCGTTGGCGCGAGCGACGTTGTCTGTACTCTTTTCGACAACGGCAAATTGGCCAATCAGATTACGACATTACTGCATACTGTGGTAAAAAAGTAAATACCTGTGTGTATATAAATGCGTTTAATTATATTTTTTCTGGAATGTATTACCCATAATAGGTATTGTGCGCGTTGGTGGACGTTGCAGTGAAAAGTTGGAGCGCTGCTCCCTAAAGGCTCGGCGGAATGAAGCTGCTGACAACAAGGAAACTCCATATACAATCTACAGTGCAAGAAGAAGTGCCCAAGACGAAATCAGAGAACTAAACAAAGAAGGATCCCTCGATCTTTGTGTTACTGTCCTAAAATTTTCCAGAAGAAGGATTCTCACCTTTCAAATTTTAATGAAATTCATGATGGTTCGTCATGTCAAATGGTTCAACAAATTTCCACACAGCAACGATTATTTGTTATGTGAATGGTTGGGGCTGCACTTCGTTGCTGAGCGAAATGATACCAAGAACAGTGACTATGAAGCAAAAATGGAGAAAGTTTTTCAGACGCAGGAGTCAGCTCGGAACTTCGAAGATAACGAGGAGGAAAGAGAAATCCAACCTTCAGATGTAACTATCAGTACAACTGAAGACATCGAAAAACCAGTTTTCCTTCGTAACCATCTTCTTCGAGAAGAAGTCATTAGTGAGCAGAAAAGTAATATTTACAACTTGTTGAAATTGTCGCTACCCGAACGATGGAATCTGTACAGGTTGTGGCTTCAGAAAGCAGAGAAATACTACATGAGGAAACTTCAGAGCAAACAGCCAGATTACGAAAGAGCATTGGCGCGTAAGTTTGAAGTGATGCAAGAAGAAGACTTTCATGTTCTCCAAAGTGCGAAGATCATTGGAATGACCACCACTTGTGCCGCCAAATATCGCCGTATACTCCAGCGGATACGCCCTAAAATTGTACTTGTTGAAGAAGCCGCTGAAGTAATGGAGGCCCACATAATTACGTCACTGACCAAAGACTGTCAACACCTGATTTTGATTGGTGATCACAAGCAACTCAGACCTAAACCGGAAGTGTATGTCTTAGCCAAGAAGTACCATCTGGATGTGTCCCTGTTTGAGAGAATGGTGAATGTGGGACTTCAGTGTGAGACCCTCAACGTACAACATCGTATGAGACCTGAAATTGCCGCCTTGATGAAACACATTTATGACGATCTTGAGAATCACAAGACAGTGGAGAAATATGAAGATATCAAAGGAATGAAGAAGAACATGTTCTTTATCAACCACAGTCATTTAGAGAATCCCTGCGAAGATTCGTACAGCCACGTGAATGATCACGAAGCTAAGTTTGTGGTGGCCTTGTGTCGGTATCTGTTACAACAAGGTTATAAAGCCCATCAAATTACCCTTCTGACAACCTACACAGGACAAATGTTCGCCATCAGAGACTGCGTCCAAGTGAGACAAAGGGACGACCTCAGCCAAGTGCGTCTTACAACAGTTGACAACTTTCAAGGTGAAGAAAATGACATCATTCTTCTATCGCTCGTGCGCAGTAACGAAGAAGACGAGGCTGGGTTCATCAAGATGGAAAACCGTGCATGCGTGGCGCTTTCTCGTGCTAAAAAGGGCTTTTACTGTATTGGAAACTTCACCCTTCTCTGCAAACACAGTGAAGTCTGGAACAAAATTGTCGACGATTTAAAAGCAAGTAGTAGCTTTGGAGAGTCTTTAACTCTCATCTGTCAAAGCCACAATGAAGAGATCACAGCAGAAACAGCCGAAGATTTCGAAGGAAAAGCTCCTGAAGGGGGATGTCAGCGTCCCTGTGAAGTGCGCCTGAAATGCGGGCATGCATGCAAACGGTCATGTCACCCAAATGATGTCGATCACTTGGAATATCGGTGCGGAGAGCCGTGCGTCAAGAAAATCGTTGGCTGTGACCACACGTGTTCAAAGCTTTGCTGGCAGAAATGCGACACATACTGTCAAGTGGTGGTGGAGAAGGCTTTACCATCCTGCGGGCATAAGGCAACCGTGAAATGCGGCGATGATTTGAAGAAGGTCCAGTGCCAAGCAACGTGCGATAAAAAGCTACCCTGTTTCCACCGCTGTCAGAGCTACTGTAGTCAACCTTGCACAAGAAAATGCCAAGAGCTTGTCAAGAGAAAAGATTGGCCTTGTGGTCATGAAGTTGAGATTGCTTGCTCGGCAACTCCGGCAGATTGCCCAGTCCTTTGTGGTGCCACTTTGGAATGTGGTCACCCGTGCCCCGGGAAGTGTGGCGAGTGTCGCATGGGTCGAGTTCATAAGCGCTGCAAACTGAAGTGTAGCCGTGTATTGGTCTGCTCTCATGTCTGCAAGGCAGGGTGCACAAGCTCTTGCCCGCCTTGCACGGTTTCTTGCGAAAACCGTTGCGTGCATTCGAAATGTGATTTCCAGTGTGGGGAGGCTTGCAAGCCTTGCGCTGAAAAGTGCAAGTGGGAATGCTTTCATTTCAAGTGTAGCAAGTTGTGTGGTGAATTGTGCGATCGCCCAAGATGTGACAGGCCCTGCAAGAAGTTCCTCAAATGTGAAAAGAAGAAGCGTCGCCGCCATCGCTGTCGAGGTTTGTGTGGAGAGCAATGTATTTGTGCTGTGTGCATGAAGAACGATGGCGACCCGATCACCCAAATTTTTTTAGGTGGAGAAGACGAATCTGGTGCACGTTTCATTCAGCTTCCGGACTGCAAACACATCTTCGCAGTAAAAGATCTTGATTAGTAAGTATGAAGCATTTGTTAGCTTTTTGCCAAAAATGCTGCATTATGACTTGGTAAGCCCCATTAAGCTTTGACAACATTATGGGATTTTGTTTTGGAACAAACCGGTGCTATTCTTGTCAAAACTGTTATGCTAAGCCCTGGATCTATGACTGAATTAAATTGATGAGGATTAGTGGGCTATAGTTTGGCGGCTCCCATTGAGTCTTTCAGAAACAGTAAAAGGAGGTCCGTAGTTCGGGTAGAAGTCATTGTAAAGCAAGACAGTATAGGAATGATTGAACCTCTTATTTGAAAATTATCTATTTCCTTAGCCCTAGAACTTAACTATATCTTTGTCTTGGATCAAAATGTTTCATTAAATGTGAAAGTTATACAGACCGGTTCGTTAAATAGATGTTGAGATGAGCGGGTAGCAGAAACAGGCCGTTTCCTCATTACGAACTAGCACAACTACCTCTCAGCTCAGATGTCGATAGGTAAATGAGAGTATAAAGTTTAAATTTGTTTATCGAGCTTTGATTATAACGATTCCGAACAAGCAAGATTAGATAATAATGATATTCTTTACCGTAATTTTTTGTAGCTACATGGACATGCCTATTAACAGCGAAGATAACCGTCACGTGATTCAACTGAAAACTTGTCCTCGTTGCAAGACTGCTATCCGAAGGAGCCAGCGATACGGTAATGTTATTAAACAGCAGCTGCTCGACATTGAGAAAGTGAAGGCCAAGGTCAACGGAAATCAGGATGAGATCGAAACTACGAGAGAAGATTTGAAAAGACGTTTGCAAGTTTTACGGCCGAAATTTGCAGCTAAGGAGGAGTGGAGCGTATTGATGAAACGTGTCAACAAAATATCCAACTCAGTAGTAGCAGCTGTAGTCACAAACCAGGTGATGCTGATGGAGCGATTTCTCCCGATAGACCGGAAGCTTAAAGCAAAGCTTCCCAACAACAGGAGTCAATCAGAAGGTATGTTTACAAGCGTGTTTTTTCGTTTGGCGCGTTTTGAATCCTTGTATTTAAAAAATGTCTGAGAGACAGGCCTCTGTTGTGGCCAATTAAGTTGCTGAAACCAAATGTCTTGCAATACCCCACCCCCCCCTCCCGACGGACTGACTACCTCGCTGACTGTAACACATCCTCTCTCAAGTAAAGGTGAAGGTTTTGAACTTTAAGCTTGAGTTAGTATTAAGATGTATAAGGAAACTGGGATAGATATAGGGGCGGGGGAGGGAGGGGACGGGGCTTTTCTTTTGACGGCGAAGGGATTGACTCGGTTTATCGATTATCCTACTCTGATCAAAGAAAAAGATGGAAGTAAACCCTTTTTGCATTATTTGGTTACTAGGTTTGACTCTCCAGGAGGAATTGGAGCATTTAAAAACACGTGCAATATCCGGAACAGTTTCGGAGAGAGAGCTGTGCGACATAAACTTGGAATGTACGAGGATTAATCTGCGATTCGAACTGTGTCTGCTGAAACACAACATTACAAAACTCAACCTGACGCTGATGGAATCGCATGGTAACCTTTTGAGAGATGTGCAGGATGAGCTGTCCAGCGGTAAACTTATACAAACCGAGAGGCTTGACGAACTACTAGAGATGTTATCGGGAATTAGGTGGGTCATCAGATGATAACATTCGTTTTTAAGACAATCACATCATACACAACGTGACTTTCTCCCTACCCAGGAGTTTTAAAAGACACCAACAAACTATCAGGAAAGCCCGACGAAATGGTTAGGGTAACTGAAATGAAGTATCTAAAACAAAAAAGAAGTTAGAAAATTTGCTATTCGCTTCTGTCTGTGAAAAATTTTATCTATAATAGATAGATTTAGAACCACATTTACGAGCGAGTCATTTGCCTTTTGCCGTTTTCGTACTTTTTTTCTAAATCTTTCTATTATTCTGAGGGTCTTCACTTTTGGTTACTTTACCTGTGGACAGCGTAATCCCAAGTGGGATTCCTGTGGGGGCAATTCGTTTCGGCTGCCTTTTGTGAAGGAAACAAAATCTTGAAATTTGTGACTTTTAAGGCACAGTAGGGTCGTAAAAACTGAAACAGTAACGGCGATGTCGATGGAGATAGTGTAAAACAAATTAGTTTCCTCTTTGTTTATTATAGGAAGGATTACCCAAGTCTTTGGCCGATAACGCCAGAAGAGAGACAACAAATCGTATCTGCCATGGGCTTTAAACAAGGTCATTGGTTCAAATGTCCAAACGGACATCCCTACACTATAGGTGAGTGTGGTGGCGCCATGCAGAAAAGCACGTGCAATGAATGCGGAGCTGTGATTGGTGGAGCGCTTCACAGACTGGAAGACGGAAACCAGTTAGCTCCTGAGATGGATGGTGCGAGACACGCGGCCTGGTCAGAACAAGCGAACATGGAAAATTACAGGATCGTAGATGAGGCGTAAAAAGGTTTAAAACTGAGTTTAAAATGTAATCGGAAGCTTATTAATTATACATTCAGTAGACTAGGCGGTGTAACATGAGGGGCAAAGCTAAAATAATTGTCATTTATTGCTGTACGTCTCGCGTGCATGGTTTAGACCAAACGTCGGAGAATTTTATAAAAGTTTAATTGCAGCGGATAGTTTGATTTCCTCTGCATATAAATGTAGGGTGCGGACTGTAAGTGAACCAAAACGAGCGCCACAGAACGCTGGAAAAGAAGCACTAAGCAGAAAGCGAATGGCGCGTCGTTACGAATGACGAACACAACAGTCAAACGTCGGGCATGCGCGAAGGAATCAATTCTGGCCTGTCGCGCGCCAAATTACCGCGCAAAATATTAAAGGATAAACATAAGAAAGAACCGCTCTCTCGCTGAAACAGTGAAAGAAAACTGAAGCGTTCATAGAAATCTCTAAAAAGAACCGAAAGTAGAGAAAAGGAAAATTCAAGACTTTGGAACACAAAACTTATGCAAGTATGGGTATCCTGTTATTTTTACCATTCTGTTTTGAGCTTTACCAAAAAATTGTTCGCTTTTTAAACACCATGACTAACTGCCTTGTGTCGCTGTTATTCGTAACTTGCGTGAGACAACTTTGCTCTGACAGCCTGAAAGCACGTTACCTAGTCGTTGCAATATTCGCCCATGCGCAGACGTTTGACGGCTTGGTTGTTGTTACGCGGCGTCTAATGCATTTTTTTCGAATCGGAAAAATAGGGTTAGGGTTTTAGCGTTTTCTAGAAGTTTCTGCTCACCATTTGCCACATCCACCCTTAAAGAAAATTTCAACAAAAATCCCCACCGATTATTAGAAGAAAAGAATATTCTTGGCTTTTATTTCCTTAAAAATTTGGATATTGCGTTAGAAAGAGCATGCTGAGCGGGCTTCTGTGTGTAAGTTTCAAAGTCAGCTGTTTTCGAGAAAATTCTCTCCGAATATTGAAACAAGTTGATTTTTTCGCTGAAAAAAATGGACCAATTAAACTAGATTTAGAGGATGCTTTCAAACGCTTACCTAAGAAGTCTAATAAAACAAGAGACTTCATGTTCATGGGCATTAATATGTTTTGGGACTTACTCAAATTCATTTTAGCCCAAGCCGCCGGGCAGGTGTGAAAAGGATTCTAAGAAGAGCTGAAAACATATTCATTCCCAAAATATTAACTTGATTACTATCATAATCATTCTTATTATCGCTTTAGAGGGCATTGAGAAAATAAAAACTGGAAAAAAATGACCACAAAGCAGTCTCAACAATTGCGCATGCGTGCAAACGGGCCAAATTCTCTTTAGACACTGGTGTCCGATTTTGGACGCTAGTGTCCGATTATAGACACTAATGTTTGGTTGTAGACATGCACCATTGTTTCATTTTAGACACTATCGTTGGATTTTAGACACTGGTGTCTGATTTCGGACTCTAGTGTCCGATTTTAGACACTAGAGTACAATTTTAGACACTAGTGTCTGATGTTGTCCGATTTGGGACGCAAGTGTCTGATCTGAGATACTGTTGTCCGATATTAGACACTAGTGTTCGCTTTTAGACATTAGTATCAAATATTTTTAGACAAAAGTGTTCTATTTTAGAGACTAGTTTCCGAGTTTAGACACCAGTGTTCTATTTTATAAACCAGTGTCCAATTTTGGACACTAGGGTCCGATTTTAGACACTTGTGTCTGATTTTGGACTGTGGTGTCCGATGTTGTTCGATTTTAGACCATAATAATTCCACGAAGTAAACTGCCACAAAGACCTACTAGTACTAGTCACGTTCGATTTTGTTGCGTGACATCTCTTATCAATTACGAATATGTCTTGTCTCGAAATCAGAATATTTGAGAAATAGTTTTAGCTAGTGGTGAAAAAGTGATCCTTGTTTTCCCACCTCTATAATCCTTTTGTTCTCGTAAGAAGTGATTCTGATTACTTCTAAGGAGATCCAGGTAATGAAAATTAAATTTAACGGCGCATAAAGAATACCTACGGCTAACTCGTGCATAAACTACTTGATCTAAAGATGAAACATGGTTGTGAACTTATAATTATTGGTCTTGAAGCAATGTAGGGTTTCTCTTATCTCCGGCAAATCAAAATCATCCATCCAACCCACAGACTAAAAATCCCATGTAAAATCTACAAAATAGTACAAAATAGTATCTTGCGCTTATTAAATTGCTGTTTGCAAAATTCGTCAATTTAGACACTGCAATCCAAATCGCTCTTTCCCCAGCACAGCCAAATTCCACTACTCTCCAATAATATGTCACGTTTCGCCTCACAGTTGCTCAATAAATATTTGCACCGTAACATAATGATCTTCGTTTACAGGGTAAACGCACTTGCATCTGATAACAAACCTTGAGATTTTCTGCCTCGGAACGGAAATACCTCTGAACGCATTTTATGTGACTGCAAGTTCTTTTTTTTCGACGGATTGATATTAAAGATATGTGGCAATAAATTCCACAAATTTTCTTTTGTCAGAAGAGCACAGGATTATTTTCGTCCGCTTCTCATCGATCCAGCCGCCAATGTTTACACGGTTCTTGTTTTACATCAGTTAAAAAAAAATCAAAGCGATTAACAATATTAGCTTTGTGCTTGAACTCGATAAATTTTTGTTCACTTGGAAGGTGATATTTCAAGCAACGATGCTTGAAAATATAACATAAACTCTAAAAAAGCCTCTCGATCGTTTTATGCGCGGTTACTACTCCAATTTGGTTTCGCGCTCGTTAGAGTTCGGGACAACTCATTACCACAGTGAGTGATTGAGCCAGTGACTCATTTGCTCATCGGAGTCCCAACCGGGACTCGTTTGCACGAGTCAAAAACTGATGCTTCGGAGAGTCGTGAAAAGGTCACGCAAGATTCTTTCACAGCTGATCCATCGTGTTTTTATTGTTGTTGTATAGACACTACTAACGAGTAAACTCCTCTCTTCCCACATATAACCCTTGGTGTAATTGGTGTAATGGTTCTAACTGAAATTGAAATTCGATTCGTTTGCGTGTCAACTCTGAATATTCAACCAATCACGAGGAAGACGCTTTTCTCGGAATTGATATGATGTCTCGAAGAAGCTTCCGCGAAGAGTAAACACTAAGTAATGTTTTCATTTTCTATGTCTGTTACGGAGGAAGTTCTTTTCAACAGCTCTTAAAAAGGTCAAGGTATGTAGAAATAGTATTTATGTATGCGGAAAATTGATTGTAGTGTGGTGTAGAAAACAACTGGTGCAGCAAAGTTACAATTCAGCGCAGAGGAGCCTTGAAATTACATCGTGCAGTTACGTTGGATAACATTGATTTTATCCACAGGAAAACCTGCACGTTTTTGGCAGTGTTTAGAGCTGTAGTCTAAACATAGAGATCTAGCTACGTGAAAATCGAAAAGCAGTTTCCTTTTCATGTAACTGTGTGACAAATATATAATGCTTACAAGCTTGAAATGAGGATGATTTGTTCAAGAATTATGTAAGAGTGAATTGATCGAGTACCAAAGGTTTACATTTGTTACCATTAACATCGGCTGTGCAGATTTAAAGAAAGGCATTTGAGGCTGATAACGAGCAACTAGTTTGTTGCTTAGCTGTGATGTAGCCCTAGTGATCTATGAAGAGAGATTTTCGGTCAATTATGCGTTATCAGCAGCGAGAGTTTCATTGGTATGGGAAGCCATTTTTGCCCTCGTACATTACGCATATTTTTTTCGCTGAGGTAACTAAACCTAGCTTTTAGAAAACCGATTTAATGCTCAAGGGAAGGAGAGTTAGATAATGTTAACATAATGTCGTTGGGTAAGTTATTTTCCATCTAAAATTCAGATTATGTACGGTGTATGGAATGTTAGAAAGGAGAGCTTTCTGCGGGTAAACAAAAGCGAAGAAATCATGTTTTCAAGGTTTTTATGTTGTTTTCGATAATTATCGAAGGTCAATGTGCGTTGTGGTGAATTCCGAAACGTTTCCTTTGAGAATTTCACATTTCGTCATTTCAAATTTTTCTACATATCTTCTACGAACAGTTTGGCAATTTCTTCCATGGTAATGCTAATATTTTAAACTGAAATCATTTTGTCGACAGCGACGTTTAAACAAAGTTGGCCAACAATGAACCAAGACATCGCTCACGATAGAAAATATTCATATGACTAGAAACTGTAATATGGGGCGAAACCGCAAGAGACGATACGGTGAAGCTGCTACTTTTGGCAGAACAAACCGAACGTCCGATTTTGAGGAAGGAAGGCGACGTAGTGAGAGCGATAAATGGTCATATGACTCACAAGCTTTCTCGCCTAAACGACGACGCCTAACAGATACGAGGGGAGGGGAGAGTCAAGAGGAGGCGGTACCTTTAGGATACAAGGCCTTGGAGGAAATATGGAAAGCAGATTCAGATGAAAATAGGATATTGGAACTAGACCTCAGATCTGAAAGATTCAAAGCGTTGCTAAGTTCCAAGACAGAAATAAATCCAGGTGTCATGAGGCTTACCATCTGTGTACTCCATCAGCTTTGTTGTTCCCGTAATATACTCTTATGTCATGTTGAAGAGTTGTTACGTTTGGTGATAGAAAGCAATTTCATGTGTTCACGACTGTCTGGTTTCATCAGCCGAATGATGTTTTATGCAGGAAAAGAATTTGATAAGTTCCAATCATCCGATCTGATCTTCAGTTTGGCGGAAGTATTTCTCCACTTCCTGCAGAGATTTGGACGCGAAGTAGCTCACGAAATTCCTGTGTTTGCGCTCGAAGACACCGTGATGCAACTAAAAGCAAAAAGGCGTTTACACGACGTAGGTACACTGGAAAAGAAAGTTTCCCAAGTCAAAGAACTGCGACAAGGAGTCATTAATCAAGAAATGATGCCTAACTGGGACGAAGAAGAGGAGTTGGAAGTCGAGCCCCCGCAGAGTTTTCGAGAACTCAGTGTTTTCCCAAAAGCCTCAGATCTTAGCATTTCACATAATCCCTTTCTTCGTGTCAATGTTGTCGACCAGCGCGGCTA